AAAAAATGCGCAGTAGTACACATTCAGACCACTTACACGTATATACCAATATATATATATATATTGCACAACTTATGTTCATCTTCACATGCAAACTAAACAAACATATACATATTCTGTATTCATGCATGATAAGCCTAAACCTACCATGTCTGGGTGCCTTTGGGCTTAGTCCAGCCACCTGCCTTTAGTGTGACTCTGTGTGGCGACACTATCATTCGTCTGAAACGTCCCAGGTTGCACCTTTCAGTTGGAATATCAGGCAGACAGCGGGTGTGCACACAGCGATTGCACCAGATGCATCTGAAGGGTAGGGGAAGGATAGGCACAATACGACACTGAGTGAAAGAACAGGACGCATACGACAGTTGTCAATGGCAGTGTGGGCAGAACGGTGCACTTGCATTCAGACGCACAATGCGCGCACACACACACACACACACACACACACATATATATATATATACATATACATATACATATGTATATATATATATATACAACACACACACACACACACACACACACACACACACACATATATATATATATATATATGTATATATATATATATATATATATATGTATATATATGCATACATACATACATATACATATACATATAAGAAATATCACTATATCTCTCTACCATATTGATTTACACCAACTTGTCATCGACAAACCCAACACCATTGCGATACGATATGAGACACACAAAACACTCACTCAGCAATAACACTGGTCAAATAGTCACATCCTGACAGCCTACACGCGTCTACATATAACCACCCATTATATTTGCACCCGCATACCCATACACCTTTGAGTATATCCCACGTCCCAACACCAACACCTACCTGTAATCCACAAGCCCCGCGCCGTTACCACATGACTTAAGACACACGAAGCACACAGACAGCAGAGGCAAGTTGCCGTTGCGCCATTGATGTTTTATACTCACAGTCTGTGGCTGTGTACAGTGCTTGCAGCTGTACTTCTTGGCCTTGACCTTGCAGGTGCTGTGTGCACAGAAGCCACACACCTAGGATGTGTGGGGAGGAGGATGGGGTGTGTGTGTGTGTGCGTGGATGTTGGATTAAGTAGCTATGTGAGTGTATGTGAGGACATTGTGAAACATTTGCTGTTGTAGTTTTGCATATAGTTGCATCATGTATTAACGTACATTACATAAATATGTATCGTATATTGTTGACAATACATAAATTTGCATTATATATTATCGTACACGACATAAATATGTATAATATATTATCGTACATTAAATATATACAAGCATCATATCACTATAAACAACACATAAATATACATCGTATATTTTCGTACATTGCATAAAAATGCATCATATATCACTAACCATTAAATAAATATGCATCATATATTGATATCCTTATCCACAACCACTAACAAAACCTTCCACACACCCATCCACACACCTCACAGCGGATGCCCTTGATGATGTGCTTCTGACACACGTTACAATACCCTGGTTGTGCCAAGAAGTCGTGTGTGTACCACAAATGTTTACCATTTGGTGCATTTCGCAGCTGTGGGTCTCGCATGCGTTGGCGTGTCTTGAGCACATCCATCTCTTCTTTGTGGATCCTGTAGTTAGTATAAAACACCGACTGAGAACATGTGGTCAAGCAACGCCTGTCCCAGCGCGACAAGAATGCGTGCTTTAATATTTGCCTCAACGCGTTGGGGACAACAGTCCTGAGACCTGCTGACGAGGTGTTCAGGTGTACCTATCACACAAGGCCCTCTAGCCGACACACACATGTACACACGCACACACACACAGACAAACCATGGGATATCACACGTCAAGGGATACCCGATTGGTGGATTTATTCGCTGCCTGTGGAGACGTGTACTGCAGCAGAGTGACTTCCTATTGTACTTTAAGAACACATAATATTATGCAAAGGTCAAGGTAAAAGTGAACAGACAAGCAGATGTACTACATCATATATACAAACATAGAGAACCACATACGTACTCTATATCAGCCACATACCAGCCCCAAAATAGCTTCGTTACCAAGGCGGACAGTAATGCTACGCACAACGAGCCTATAATAATCTGCTTTGGTTCGCCTGTGAACTTTATTTCATCGAATATAAGCCATTCCAGCTGTGTCTTTAGCGTCTGTGTTGAACTTGACATGGTTATAGGTAGAGAGGTACACAACGTGGATATATACCCAATCGTACTACACTACTTGTTTCTGTAGTATTGCCACCTTATAGGAGTTATAAATACATATATGAATACATGGAGGCAAATATACGCGCGATTCGATACATGACCGGATCTCTAGGACGAGCTATTGCCTATTTACAGACAGAGGACTCATAAGTCGTATCAGTATGGAACTATGGAAGGAGCCAAATGTATGTTACTCTACTCTAACTAGTTACTATGATTGGGTTCAGGGTTGTAGGGTTTTGAACGCGGTTGCTTGGCTATTTTTTTTGAAAGTACATATTTATTTTTGAGATGACGATATGTGTACCCTTCACGTATCGCTTCTCAGCCTGTCGTCTCTAGGATGGCGTTGTACACGTTGATATCACATCAACCGACAACCATCCTACCGTCTTACACAGAGTATGGAGGATGGACGCATCTCCTATAAATACAATAACCAGCATAGGGGATCGACGCACAAAGCTCCTCTGCTACACACACTGACAATTCTCTCTTTCTGTGTATATGTGTTGTGCTTTGTACAGAAGTAGCGACGTTTCCGTCAGCGGCAGTCTAGTGGTGTATGAAATCATTCATTTATTCTCATAATCCTCTGGAGACAGATATTATGTGATTACATACCCCCTGAGATGAGAATGTTCTTCTCTGTCCAGTCCTCCTGAGTGTGATGTAGTTCTCGTTATTTGCGACGTATAGTTGGAGCTATAGTTGATGGTACGGGGAGGGCATGTGACAATAGAGAGGTATCTTAATAGTGACTGATTGAACCAGTTGAGTGAAGTTCAACTACAACGGATTTCGATTTCAGTAACTTATAAACATCTGCGAATATAAATAGTAGCTTTGGATTTTTGGTTAATAAAGGCAAGTTGTGAGATTGAGCCAGTGATGATAGGGATGATATATTCAAATACATTCTACTATACACTTCTCCTCATTGTTAGCAACACATGTGCACCTGCAGTTTTGCCATAGCTCCGGAAACACTAGGTCTATAAGCGTAGCTACAAGACAACTAGCATTATAGTAGTTGAATAAGTATATTGCTTTCCTCAGCGTCTGCGTTGTTGTCCTGTACATCACGAGTCCCTCTCTCAGTGTGATCGATACATTGGCCGGGCAGACTATACATTGCATCGAGATCACAAACCCTGGACACCTGGATAACCTACACTCAGCGATCAAGAACATGCATGCGCTATACTAACTGTGTGGGCAGTATCGAATGCGTGTCTACGTCTGCATAGTTCAACATAGATAAAGCCTGCGAAACCTATATCATTCTGATATGTGAACAGTTGCCACACGAAAGTGATTTTGAGATATCAGCTTTGTTACAAAAAAAAATAACGTCTCGACACTGCCTGCTGTCAGATCAACGCTTGTAACTATGCACACAGTACACACACAGAGGTTAGAAAGAGCAATCTGCCAACACGATAGGTGATATGATAGGACAACGTACCACGACAAGAGGATATTAAAGGGATGCCCAATTGAGCATCCAGGCTGTCTACTTGACAACGTCATAGATCAAGATGCAGTAGATGATAACATCCAGTGGGAGACAGACTGGGGGTTGTATATCTATAGATCTGCCACAGGAATGTTTGGATAAAGGTCATGCGCATGGCAGATGGTGGTGTATTTCACACACATGCTTCAGATGTCAAACTATGGAGAACCTAGCTGTGCTCTATTCTCTTGTGTTGATAACACCCTTACAGGTGTGTGTGTGTGGTTATTACTTTACATTCCACGAGATATGTATCTCGATGCTACTTGTTGCGTGACAACGCGTTTGTGTAGTATGTCCTTATGAACCTGTTCTAAAGCTCCTCCTGGTTCACACGCAAGAGCGCACCTATGTTGTAGCCGGAGACATTATGTATGTGGAACAAATTCACAAGTGGTAAGGCTATGCTATTCCTATATCTGCTGCATACAGGGACCATATCTTCGCTAACACACCTCGCAGTACTGTACTGTATCAACCAACAGCTGTATTAACCACACCTCAAAGTAGGCCAGTGGTGCGTATGAGCCCCACTTGCACCCGTACCGTGTATGTACAGGTGTTGTTGGTAAAAAAATTATAGACAGTATGCCATTGTTGTCGATGCCGATTCCGGCAACTCGGTGGTATCTGTCTGTGAATGTTAGTTTCGCACAGGGACACTCCACGTGGCTTTGTTAGAGTCTCTCTCTGCCTCGAGAGAACTACCTCTGCGTATACCAAATTAACGTTGTAGTTTGCTCTGGCGCCGCCAGGTGGGAAATCAGAGTGCGGTGCACATAGATGGCTAACACGTGACCAATCTGTCTCAACTCACATGAGGAGATGTCACACAAAGCTCAAATTACACAACCGTGCATAAAACGGTACATGCACATGAAGTACGGGTCAATATAAGTACAGAAAGACGCAACAATACATGTACTGCAAGTACGGGTGTGCATAAGGATACATGTACATAAAGTACGGGTTAATTTAAGCACAGGACAACATAACGATTCATGCACAGTAAGTACGGATAAATACAATGGTATAAGGATATGAAGCACAGATTGATATGTAGCACAGACATGTACAGCAAGTACGAGCAAGTATAATGGTATATGCATATCGAGCACTGGTTGACATATAGCACAGGCTAACATAAAGATACATGCACAATAAGTACGGGCAAGTATAATGATATATGCATATGAAGCTCTGGTTGACATATAGCACAAGTTTACATAAGGTAAGTAGGAATAAATAGAATGATATATGAATATAAAGCACAGGTTGATATGCAGCACAGGTTAACACTCCATAAATACATATGAAGCACGTGCTGGTATAGCTATATATACTACTCAACAACCCCACATGCTATCTTTCATACTTGTTCTGTTAGACACCGCTGAGCTGATGATACGTCACAGCAGTGCACAGGCGTTCACCCGATTCATCTCGAAAGTTCACAGTAAGAGAGGTGTCATAGAAGCTCTAGAATTAAGTATCACGCATCCATACTCTTACATTCACAACAAAGAACAACCTACCACGCGCCCATACTCATACATACACGACCAATACCATATCAATACACTTTAGTATCACGCGTCATACCCCTAGGTACACCACTAATAGCATATCATTACATAAGTATCACACATCAA